AATTCAACAGGAAGAGTGAATGGCACTTGTGGATCACCAACATCATCATTCCAAGATGAGAAAGCATCGTATAAGGTTTTGCTTCTGATTGTTTAGTAAAAATTATTTCTTTGTATATCTTTTGGGTCTTCTGTAATGATCCAGGTGCTATTCTTTCAAAGAAAATGATGCTGCTCTAAGGTTTTGATCATACTATTTTATTATTATTATTATTATTATTATTATTATTATTATTATTATTATTATTATTATTATTATTATTATTATTATTATTATTATTATTATTATTATTATTTTCCTGGTCATCTTCTACACACCTCGTTATGCTGGGACCTTTGTGTAGGATAAATATGTAGGTGCCATATATATCACTCTTATAAAACATTCAGTTTTCTCCATAGAGGAATAATCAACAGCAAAAATGATTCTTTGCAGTTATGATTTGATTTGTAAAAGAATGTTGAATGCTATGACAAGCTAAGAAGTTTTGTATCATACCACTAGATAATTGTTATCATCCACCCTTGATTTCTCCTATAGCTGTGTGTTGAGAACTTACTGTTTTGGTAGTGTCTTAAAACGGTTCTCAAATTTTCATACTCTCAACATGTTCGTGTTCATCTTGCAGCCTGAGATGGCAGTAGATATGAAAAGGAGATATGTCGGCCACTGTAATATAGGCACTGATATAAAGCAAGTGAGTTTCCTAGGCCAAAGAGGTACTCCTTTTCCTCTTTGCTATGTTGTGCTCTTCTTCTAGTGTACTCCTCAGTCGAGTTGAAGCTCTTCTCAAAATGTTTTATGCAGGTCAGTATATTGCTAGTGGGAGTGATGATGGTAGATGGTTTATCTGGGAAAAGAAGACTGGTAGATTAATAAAAATGCTTCATGGGGATGAATCTGGTAGTTAATTTATTTTCTTAGTTCTCTGTTATGACTCTCTTTCGGAAAACCAAAAAAGTAGTGATTTCTACCGATTCCCTGGTTGTCTAACTTAGCTTTTCACCCATGCTTCAGTTGTAAATTGTATACAGTCCCATCCATATGACTGTGTTGTAGCTACAAGTGGGATTGATAATGCCATAAAGGTGAGAGACTGATGGTCAAATACTTCGATTTACGAGTTTATCGCACTTTTGGTCCCACGACTATAGTGGCATTATTAGGATTGATCCACGACTTTCAAACCTTGCAATCTCGGTCCACGACTATTGTTTTTTTTACAAAAATGGTCCTTCCGGCCTATTTTCCGTCAATTTCTCACCGGAGTAAGAACCATTTCCGACAGAAACAGACCGGAAAATTGAAGGACCATTTTTGCAAAAAAAACAATAGTCGTGGATCGAGATTGCAAGGTTCGAAAGTTGTAGATCAATCCTGATTTACTATATAAGATGCACTTTTTATAAAAGGAACTCACATACTTATTTATGCTTCCAGATTTGGACCCCAAGTGCATCAGCCCCTTCCATTGTAGCCGGTGGAGCAGCAGGACCTGAGACTTCAAAGGTTCTAGATGCTATGGGACCTGAGACTTCAAAGGTTCTAGATGCTATGGAAAACAATCAGCGCAGAATGAGTCGAACTCGCGAAGCGATTTTGTAAGACCTATGATCCCACTCTCTTCACTGGACTATAGTATGCTTAAAATGTTTTCCATGCTAACTTAAATAATAAATACAGCCTCCATCATATATTTCTCTTCACCATCTGTTCTTTAATTATGTTTTTTTCATAATTGAAGTCATAATCTTTTGTTTTCACAAGACTAAAACTTTTATTGAAGATACAATTTCAATGTAGGAGAGTGGCATTTAAAAATGTATTTTCCCTTTCTAGTTAGTATTATTACACAACATCTTATTGCTTTGCTTTTACTCTTTGTAGCACGTGAAAATTATATTGATGTGATGTTGTGCAGGCCTGTGGAGTTTCTGGAACGGTTTAGGTTGCATGAATTTGCAGAAGGCAGTATGCATCCTTTCGAGTGCACACAGAGTTAATCCGATCCGACTTGGCCATGCAAGGTGAACAGCATAATGCTACTCCCCCTTACCGCCAAACGCAAGATGTGTCTAGTCGTCCTGCTGAATACACACCATACTGGTGAAAACTCTCAACCGAATGCTCGCATTTTGATTCAGAATTTCAGATACTCTGTTGGATCGGAGTGTGAGGGGCCCTTGGGTTGGGAATTCAACCTTTAGGGAAGAGTGAAATGGTGAGAGGAGTGAGTGTATAGAATGTAAAGTAGAATTGAGTTGGATTTTATTGTGGCTGCTGAATTTTGAGGTCCTCAACTAAGATTGGGTAAAGCTAATTGTACTTTGAAAACAAAAAAAAAAAAAAATTTAAAAAAAAAGCAATTAATTGCACATTTGCACTCCGTAGCTTATGTTAATTGTATCAATTCTCCAGCGTTCCTCTTCAAAAGGTATCTTTTCTTTTACTTAATTAGGTTTTCTAAACCACCAGTTCCTGTTATTGAAAGAAAATTGTTCTTCTAAAAGTTATCTTTCACAAAAAAAAAAAAAAAAAGTTATCTTTCACAAAAAGAAAATTTCAAAATCATCTAGGAAATTTTTAGCGCATCGGATATCACGGGTCTAAATTAACGAAGCAAACTTTTTGTATAAAAAAAATATTCTTATTATTATTATTATTATTTTTTTATCATCCTAGAATCCAAAATCAAATTAATTTAGAGTTTAGTGTTGAGTTTCAAAATCAAATTAATTTGATTTACCATCTTATAGAGCTAAAAACTTGAAGTTATAAAAAAAATCATTTTTTTTATCATCCTAGAATCCAAAAAAAAAAAAAAAATTAGTGAAAAAAATAAGAAATTTTAAATTGAGTAGTTGAAAGAGAAAGGAAGAATTTACAAGATCTTTTTAATTAATTATTTTATTTACAAAAAAAAATTATACAAATGTTTTTAAAAAGAGTTAATTCTACTAGAGGTCAATGACAATTTCAAATTTAATCCTAGACTATCGTTTTTGTCATTTTACATTCCATTTTAGAACTTTAGGTAACTTATGATTTTTAATAATCATATTTTTCAATCGATTTTTAGTAAAGTACTAAACTAATTAAATCAATAGAAATCGAAAAAAAATAACAAAAGAAAAATATAAAAAGACAAAAATACCCTTACTAAAAATAGAAAAAATCATAAGAATGACTAAAAGTGTCCAAAAAACGATAGTTTGGAATGTAAAATGACAAAAATGATAGTTTGGGATTAAATTTGAAATTGTCACTAAAAACAAAGAACCTCTAGTAAAATTAACTCTTTTAAAAACTTTGTATTCATAGAATATATGTAAATTAACAAATTTTGTTATAAATAATTAAATGAAGTTCTATATTTAAAAAAAAAAAAAAATACAAACTCGTGTGTATTTAAAACTGATGAACTTAAAATATACATTACGTCGTTATCAAGTGTTTGTCACCCACAGATTGCTGAAAACGTTATAATCATCCTCGCAGCTCAATGCACATATTAAAAAAAAATTATCTTGTATTTCTTTTTCCATATTATATATTAAATAAAAATAATCATTTTCTTACTAGGCGTTCCATTTGCTTGGCAAGTTGACAGTACATTATGAGCCGATTATGTGGAGTCTTTTTCAATATTATATATTATGTGGAGTATTCCTAAATTCATATTACTTTTTGATTTAGAAGAAAATTTGCAGCCATTACAAAGATACGTTCTAAGAGCATCCACACCAAAGAAGATTTCACGGTAAACAAGAAAATTTGATCTACATGGAAGAGAAAGAGTGTAAGTGAGAGAATTTTGAGCTCCTCCTACAAATGTTGGGGAGAATGCAGAATTTGTGGGGCCTACTCAATTTATGCCACTGGTGACAGCCACGCGTGGCTGTCACCAATCCGCCTCTGGGCGCGTCAGGCGCGCCTGACAACCATAAATATTCACTTTTTTTTTTTCTTTTTTAAATTCTGTTTTGCAATTTTTTTTTTTTTTTCACTTTCCTCTCATCTTCTCTTTCCTAATCACTCTTACATTACCCCCCAATTCTCCCCAACTAATGTGGATGCTCTAAGTAAAACTCGTCTTTTAACCTTAATTAGTAAAGAATCACAATAAAATAAATCAAGGGAAAATGACACTTTTTCCCCCTGAGTTATATACTTATAGCACTTTTTCCCCCTCAATTATTTAGGTAAGCACATTAGCCCCTTCAATTATTCTAAAAGTGGTTGTTTTTCCCCCCTAATATATTAAATTGACATTTATACCCTTAAAATAAACATTTTATTTATTTTACTTCTCCAACAAATTATTGCGTGTACATAGGGATGACTACGATTCGGTTCGAACTGAATCGGACACTATAGCAATCGAATTACAAGTTTCCGGTTACGATTCAGATCTAGAACCCAATATTTGGATTTCAATTTATTAAAATTATGAATCAAAAAAATTGGATCCTGAACCGTGAACTGGCGGTTCCGGACCCGATTCGCGATTTTGAACCGTTTTTATTTTAAAATTTTATTTTTATTTTAAAAATAGTTTAAATTCAACAATAAATGTATTTTATTTTTTCAGTTCGGAACATGAACCGTCCGTTCCGGGATTTTAATAAACTCTAAATATCGAGTTTCGATTCTAAATTGTAATTGGAATATTTCGGTTTGGTTGCTATAGTGTTTATTTGGTTTGAACCAAATTATGGTCATAATTTGTTGGAGAAGAAAAATAAATAAAATATTTATTTTAAGGGTAAATATGTCCATTTAACATTTTAGGGGGAAAAACAGTCACTTGAATAATTGAGGGGGGGAAAATGTTATAAGTATATAACTCAAGGAGAAAAAGTGCCATTTTCCCATAAATCAATTTAGATTATTGAAAGATTCATATAACAACTGGCTGTTAAAATTTATAAAAGAAAAAAGTTAAAACTTTTTGTTTAGTTTTAGCTAATCAAGGGACACACGGTATATACCCACCCAACCCGGACACAGTTTCTGGGCATTTTCCTCTGCTACTATATCTATATTATTATATCAGCTTGACGTAAATATCCATACATACTCACTCACCTTCATACTTCACTGCCGTAAATATAATCCATTTATATCCACAAACATATTGAATTTGCAGATAGCTAGCTAGATCAGATGATATGATATGATATGATGCAGACAAACAGCAAAGGAGATGCCGGAAAACCACCATCAATTAAGCCTCCTAATAATCATCTCGAGTGCTGCATGTGTGGCGACCATGGCTTATCCTTGGAGCTCTTCAGATGCAAACTTTGTCAATTCAGATCTCAACATAGGTCTGTATGTATGTATGTGTTCAACAGATTCAATGTTTAATTTGGATTCAGTTCGAATCAGGCTCGCAGAAGTATATATATCTCGTTTTCGGATTCAATTCGAGCCAGGCTCGTAGAATTTGGGAGGGATTTTGTATTAGCAGAATGTTTATCTAGGGTTTCAATTCATATCTGTTCAAAAAAACCTGAAATCTTTTCAATTTCTTATGGTTACAGGTACTGCAGCAATTTGTATCCGAAAGCGGAGTCGTACGGCGTCTGCAACTGGTGCCTGACGGTGGAGAAGGGAGAAGAGGCGCAGAATTCGTCGAATTCGTCGTCGTCGTGCCGGAATTCCGGCGAAGAAAACGACGGGAAGGCGAGGAAGAAATTCGGGCCGGGGAATATAAGGATGGGGGGGTCGTGTTTACGGCTGAAGAATGCGCCTCCCAAACTGCAGGTGAAGAACCGTCCGGTCGTCAGCAAACAGAAATCGGTGTCGCCGGAGAGCTCGCCCGCCGCCGTGAAGGGTGTCGCCGCCGCCGCGGGGCGCGGTGGGATTGAAGAGAGGCTGCGGCGGACGAAGTCAGATAGTGGGATCGTCAGACACGTGTTTAGAAATAAGGTGAGGAGATATAAGCTTCTGGATGAAGTTTCTAGTCAATGATTCAATGAATGTGTATTTCGAGGATAATAATTATTGAAAAGTTATTATTATTAGTTCGAGTAAATTTTGTCTGACATGTTTCTTTTTTTATTTTTTTTATTGAATGATTGTCAGATTAAATTTTTTAAAAAGGGTTTTCAAAAAAACAAAATTTTTTAAAAGGAAATATATGATATTGATCATTAATATTAATATATTAATCACCATGTACTGGTATTTCAGATACCATTTCAAATAGATTTGGTTCTAAATGTTTGAGAAAGTATAAAATAGAACAGATACTACCTGTAAAAAATTATGAGTATTTCGAAAAAAAAAAGAGTAAAACATAATGTGCTTATTGCGGAGTACTATTTTACTACCCGAGTGGGTATACTTAATAAATTATACTTTTGTGTGATAGGTTATAAACATAAGAGCTAAACTACACTATGAAATGTGATTTCTTTATTATTGAGATGAGAAAATGACTATATCATTATAATTCATTGGTTAGAAATGTTATTTTTCTAAATTTTAGTGTGCTTATTATTGAGAGGAGAAAATGACTATTATATCATTACAATTCATGTGTTAAAAATGTCACTTTTTAAAATTTTAATTGAACATTTAGTCCATCAAAAGATACTGTATATCTTGTAGGTTTATCCAGTCACTCTTTATATAACATTATTTATAACATTTAGGAAAAAAAAAAACTTTTTTTAAAGATGTCCATTTGTACTTGTACTTTTTATACCGAATACAATTACATGTTATATATCAAATGACATAATAAAAGTGTTAATAGTACTAACTACAATCTAAATAACATACATAATTAAATGGGTACCTCCACCGATTGATGTCCTTAAATGTAATGTCGATGCGGTCGTCTCCAAACAAGGTATTTCTTACGGGGCAGTCATTCGCGATCATCTTGGGAGTTTTGTGGCAGCTCGCAGCGCCAGTCTACGCTGCAACCGCGATCCCTATTGTGCGGAAGCGATGGCAGCAAAAGAAGCACTTTCGTGGCTCAAGACTCAACAAGCAACAAATTTCATACTAGAATCGGATTGTTTAAATTTTTGTAAAAATTTCAATTCTAGTTGTCAGGACCTTTCGTACGTAGGAATGATCATTGAGCAATGTCGTGCCATTGCAAGAGACATTGAGAACGTGTTAGTTCACCATGTTAAAAGGCCAGCGAATCACGTGGCACATGTGCTTGCACTGCGATTTATTCCTATATCCTTGGAGTGTGGATTACTCACCCTCCTGGTTGTATTTCGGAATTAATTTAATATAATTTGGTTTCCTTCAAAAAAAAAAAACATACATAATTATATTTGATATAAAAACCAAAACATCGTAGAAATTCTCATAAATTACATTAAGAGTAAACCATGTGTGAGACCGTCTCACGAGTCTCAATTCGTGAGATAGGTGGGTCTTTGACTAATGGGTCAAATTTTTTATTAATGAGTCAAATCTTTGACCTCATTAATTAAAGATCGACCTGTCTCACAGATTAAGACCCGTGAGACGATCACACACTAATTTTTGTCAAACATTAATAGTTGTAAACTTAGATGGATGGCTACCAATACCATACACCATTAAGGATGATCATTTATGACCAAATGGTGTTGGAAATTTCAGTTTTTAGTCACGTCGCAATCGCAATTAATAACGTGTCATATTGGCGGTCCTTTGTGGAACAATCTCATCTCACAATTTAGATATTGAATTGATGTATACCTAACCAAACACACTCTTCTGAGCATCCGCATCAGTTGGGAAGATTTAGGGGAGAATGTAAGAATGATTAGGAAAGAGAATGTTGGAAGGGGAAGAAAAAAAAAAACAAAACTAAAAAACAAAAACCAAAAAAAAAAAAAAAGTATGTCAGGCGCGCCTGACGCGCAGCCGGGCGCATGCAATAAAAAAGGGGAAAAAAGAGAAAAAACATGACAAGAAAAGTAAAAGTAAAAAAGAAAAAAGCATATTTATGTGCCACGATAGTGCATCACAAGCACAAACTGCGCAAGAACTGTTTCTACGTAATTTTCCTAATCAATGGGTCGCACAAAAATTGTTATTTGTAGAAGAAAAATTTATCCAGAAAACCTCACTTATCATTAGTCAAAAACTCACTCAATTTTTTCTTCTCCAAAACTCCGGTTTGGGATGCAAGAGCAACCCTAGCAGGGTTTTTATGGTATTTTCGTTTTTTGTTTTTTGTTTTTGTTTTTTGTTTTTTTTTTTTTGGTTTTGTTTTTTGTTTTTGTTTTTTGCATTGTTTGCAGAAAAGAGAATGGCTTAGAGGAGATATGGGAGGAATAATAATAATAATAATAATAATAATAATAATAATAATAATAATAATAATAATAATAATAATAATAATAATAATAATAATAATAATAATAATGAGTTAATACCCAAAATCGTCCTCGACTATAGTGGTTTTTCTCAATTTCGTCCTAAACGACTTTGGTGACCTAATATCGTCCCAGACTTTTGTGTTTCGCTCAATTTAGTCCCAGACTTTTGTGTTTTTGCTCAATTTAGTCCCTCATTTGTTATTTTGTCCATTTGGTGTTAAATAAATAGACAATTTCGTAATTTTAATATTGACATCTCTTTACTCATAGACATGTGAACTGCGAAATCTTTTTTTTTTTTACGAATTACTCTCAGAATTACTCCTAAAATTGCGAATATAAAATTTGATTTGCAGGTCCGGGAGTAATTATGGGTGTAATTCGTACAAGAAAGATAAATTTCGCACTTCACAAGTTGAAAGTAAAGAGAGATCAATATTGACATTACTGAATTGTCTCTTTATTTAACACCAATTTGACGGAATAACAAATGGAGGACTAAATTGAGCGAAACACAAAAGTCTGGGACGATATTAGGTCGCCAAAGTCGTTTAGGACGAAATTGAGAAAAATCACTATAGTCGAGGACGATTTTGGGTATTAACTCTAATAATAATAATAATAATAATCCGGTAAATTGTAGGACTTGATTTTTTGTGGGTCTTACAAAATTTTAAAAATAAATTCCTCTCGTTGGTGTGCATTTAGCGCTCTAGCTGTTGGGCGCGTAAAGCATAATTTTTTTACATTAATTTTGATAGTGTTAATTGCCACGTAAGCAGTAATTAAATAAACACGAGACCAATTAAAGCAAGTAAATATCTTTATTGATCCCACTGAAGGCCCTAGGTACAATCTACTTGGTTGCTCTGAGTACCGACTGACTGCGGTCGGGATTCTCTAACAACAACCTATCGATCGTCCAAAAGTCTCTCCCACTGTAGCTATCGCGGGTACTTATAGCCGCGGCGCCGGAGACACAAATCCGGCCGTTCGGCATGCTTCCCACGTAGCCACCACGTGTCGCCGTCCCGGGTGCCCTGCCTGTCAACGCGTGGAGCCGCCACGTGTCTCTCGTCAGCTCTCTCGCCAAAGGACTACCACTCGGTGGTCGACACTCCCCCTCGGGCAACTCCTGGTCGGACCCCGACCGGGTTCTTCACAAGAAGCCCGACCTGTTACCTGCAAAGATAAGAAGACAAAGACAAAGGCACACCAGCCGGGATAAAATTATGCCGGTCGGGATATTCCCTACCAAATTTTTTTCTCCTTTTTTTTTCGCCTCCATATTCTCACTTTTAGTTGGCTTGACAAAACTATATAAAAACCCTACTCTTGAGATGGTCTAAAAGCAAACTCAATTGTTAAGATTTTTTGTCAAAATTTTTCACCACAAAGAGAGGGGAAGAGGAAAAAGTGGGAAAAAAACAAAAAGAACTAGAGAAAAAAAAAAACTATTAACACACCTAATGCACACGTGTCATTTGTTATTTTTTATTTTTTTTTTATTTACGGATCTTACAAAATACTTCACCTTTTGTGAATTTATTTTCTTTCTATCTTTCTTTGTCTTCCTTTCACCCCATTCTCTTTCCTCTCCACCCAAGTAAAAAAAAATCCCCAAAAATCTCTCTTGGATTGCTCCAATAGCTCTAGCATATTTCATCTACTGATGATTGAAGTTATAACATTTTTACAAAGTTGGAGTGACATTTGTAAATTCTAAAAGTGAAACCAAAATGATTAATTTCATATAATTGAGGATAAAAAAATTATTTGTTCGGCTTCTGTTTTTTTTTTTTTTTTTTTTTTTTATAACCAATGTGCTCTCTCAAATTTTATTACATTAACCAATCTGCACCAAGTCCACTACTAAACCCTGATCAATTCTATTTTATTGGTTATGGTTAATGCAATATGAGACACTAATAAATATTTATTTTAAAAATATTATATATACATTTTTAATGTAATAAAAGTCTGTTTTAAAATAATATTTATTTTTAATTTATTAATAATATATCTAAAAATACACCTTAACAGGCCGTTTGGTCGGAGGGAGGGAATTAGGAAGGAAAAGAATTGCAATTTCATGGGGATGAATACTGTGGAAAAAAGTGAAATTTAAATTCTAATGTTTGATTTTTAATAACATAATTACTAGGAATTTCAATTCTAATGTTTGATATACATGGAACTAAAAGAGAAGAAGTAGCATAATAGACTTTTAGATAAGAGACTTTTGAGAAAACATGCTTGATTGAGGTTGACCTATTGATTGATGTTTTATGTTGAAAGTAGAAGAAGACACACTATGATTGAGAAGAAAATGTCAAACATTAATTTCAAGTTAAAAAAGAGAGTTGTAATTTTGTCTCAAGGTTATATTTTTTTCTTCCTAAAAACCATGGAATTAAAATACCAAGGTAAGTATGAGATTCTAATTCTATAAAAATGAAGAAATTGCAATTACGAGATCAAACGAAAAAATTTACTTATCTTCAAAATCATATGGGAATGAAATTGTAATTCCCTCTTACCCAGCAAAATCCCTTGTTAACATTAAGCTCAAGAAATCAAAGGCAAGGTCAAACAGTTGGTCACTAGACAAGCTCAATATAAGCCATTAGTGCATTGTCCCCTCGCCGAGGAAGCGTTCTTATTCTCCAGTTATCCAAGCACCCTAAACGTCTATTTAGACCTTAATT